TTGACTGTTACTACGTTTACGCGAGCGTTACTTCTGTAGTAACTTATTACGATAATTCCTTCGCGTAAACGATCGAGTGATATATCGTAAGTTACTACAGAAGTAAAGGCTGATTTATAGAGGCCGTAACCGTTGATTTAAGCCGTAATCTTTAAGAAATTGACCAATCACAGTCGAATGTGAGAAGAACAATCGACTGTGATTGGTCAATTTTTTAAAGATTACGGCTTAAATCAATTGTTACGGCCTCTATAAATCAGCCTTAACGCTCGCGTAAACGTAGTATGTGATTGGTCAATTTTTAGGGCTTAGAGCTTAAAACACCTATTGTAGATAGCACTTACGGCCGTGCCTTTGATTGGCTGATTTGCTTTCTATGTGCCACAGCCTTTACGGCTTCTGCACCAGTGAAACGTCATCAACGTCATTCAATAATAATAATAAATATGACACTTCTGGCAGTTCTGGCGTCTCTAAAATCAATGGCCGTAAAAAACCCGATTGGGGAATCTAATGTTCAGCAGAAAAAGAAGATGTATTAATTCGATTTGTTGTATTAATGTGATAAAATCTTAAGATGTTGAACGTTGCACTGCAATGTTATAACTATCGTACAAAACATTTCACAAGACAACTCTGTCGGTTATTTAGCATGGTAAATATTTTGATAAATATGGACATTGATAATTTAATTGTTGCATTCCAATTTCCAATTAAATTTTATATAGGTATCAAGAGTGTGTAGAATATATAAGAACAAGATAAATATTTAATTTAAATTAATTCGTTTTCCTTAAATTTTGATGAAAACACACTTGATCGTGTAAAACAATGCTTGGAAAGTTAATATTGCTAGATATTATAAAAAAAGTATATTAACAATTAAGCACGATGTTTTTTAAAATGAAAGATGTTATACTGATCGAATAAACGCACAGAAATGTGATTAATATCTTTGGCATATTTGTACTTAAATAACAAATTAAGTGGAATAGTCTGAATTTCAACATCGACCTATTGATGATATGGAAACTTTTTATTCAATTGTAAGGCAATGAATCTATGATTACAATTTAAGAGATTAGCGCACGTAGATTTAAGATCGTTTTTATTTATAATTATTTATCTTATTTAAATATTTTCTTAAGTAGAGACATATATACATTAGCTTGCATATTAATAATCTTTATTTCAAGCATGTTTTTTATTTCTTAAAAGTCTTTATACCTATGTGTATAGTAAAATTATTATTTGATTTTAAGAACTAAGGATATGTTAAATACAAGCCTATAAGTGCTAAGGTTTTATAACAGATTTGTGGATCTTGAAAAAAGTACTTTTAACATGTTATTTTATTTTCGTAATAGAGTGCATTTTAATTATTTTATATTCTACTCACAAAAATATATAACAATAGAAAGTTCCATCTAAATATGTATATATTATATATATACATATATATATATATATATATATATATATATATATATATATATTTAAATTTATTTTAATCATTTTTGCTAGGAAACAGTTAAGCTGAAAAACAATTATCAACTTCGTGATGTAATTGGACCTCCTGATCCAGTTTCAAATCTAAGACCTGTTCTATTTGCCAGCCCCACAAAGGAAACATATTTAGAGAAGAGGTATAAGGAGCTTAGGAAAGAGACACAACAATGGAATCAGATATTTTGGTCCAAACATAATACTAACTTTATTAAGGTACTAATTTTATTGAGTTGTGATTTTTTTTCTAATATATGTATAAGATTTATTACAACATGAAAAAGATTTAATGAGATTTCAGGAACGTAAACAATTTCAACAGATGTTAGAAGCACAAGGAAAGACATTGACTGCAGATAATATGTCAGTATTTTATAAACAATTTTTAGATAAAAATTGGCAGTCTCATTTCAATTATAACATTATGTGGTATAAAAGAAATATAAAAATTTTATTTTTTGGAATAGCAGTCAAAATATCTAAACTTAAAATTAAATAAATTTGAATTGACATTTATATAATTAAACATTTACACAAATTATGTAATGTTGAAATTATTTAAATAAATATATCAAAAAATGCTATTTTTCCTTCTTCTTTATTTCTGAGATATGTAAGGAATTGCTTTATAATAACAATGTATGATAAAATTATTAATCTCATGTCATAAGCCTACAAGCGTACAATCTAGCTCAAAGACAAAAGATCAAGATTATGAAATTTAGAGGCTTTTGAGGATCTAAATTTCAAACAAAATTTTTAAATTGATATCTGAATATAATCTTTATTTCATGTATACACACATTTGAAAGTTAAATATTATTCAAGAGATATAAAATGTTAGTATTTTCAAAACTTCAGTTTTTATTTTCATTCAATATGCAAAAGTATTTGTTTAAATGTTCGAATGTACAGACCTGATAACAACATAAATTGAGAAAAATTTTTAAAAACGTTATTTACATATACAATTTATGTGCTAGTACATCAATTTGGCACAACATGAAATATATATTTTGTTCTTAAAATTTTACTTGTAGAATAATAGAAAATATTATTGTGTTATGATAAAACGGATAGATCTTATATTTATCGTCTCATAAACTTGTCTTTAAAGATAAATATTGTTTATTTTACTGTTATATTCAACATCTAATTTTATTATCATTTTATTGTGGCTTTGTCACCATATAATATAATTCACGAGAGAATACATCTTCCTTAAATTATTTTAAATTACATTTGTAATTGTAAAAGAAATGTTAATCATGTAAAAATAAAACATTAAAAAATTTAATTTGACACTACTCTATAATCAGACTTAACACGTCCAAATTCAGTTAGTCGTATTCTGTAAAATCATTCGGCTTCGTTTAATACTTCCAGTCTTGCAATTATTGACATTACTAGCAAATCTCAACGAATTTAATGTCTCGTTATAACATTCGTCTAATGGAGATACATTTAATAACATCAAAGTTTTTGAATTGCCTCCTAGAGAAGGCATAAGCAGGTGAGTCAATTTAGAATTTCTATAAGGTATATGTTCCTGTTTTTTCAATAATGCTAAAATTACATTGCCAAGATTGGCTAAAGATTTGTTAATATTCTTTGTTTCTGCAGTTCTAACAGCTTCTTCAGTTTTCAAACGTTCAGACCCGGCTAAGTCGACTAGATTCAGATTTCCTATTGACACTTCTTGTTTCGTAACATGTGTACCAATCAAGCGTATTCTTGCTACTGAATGAGATCTGGATGATCTGAAATACAAATTATTAATTATTTTAAATTAAATTCTATGTTAAATTATATCCTAATAAATATTTAATCATATAATACACATTTTCTCAATAATTATGTTATTTATTTAATTGAAAAGATAAAAAAAGTTTGCTTGTTGTAACTTTTTATTGTACAATTTAAAATACTATAATGGAATGATCTGTGGCTCTATGTGAGTGCGAATGGTTAGTAATCTAAGGCCGGTATTCATAGTCAGATCTTATTTCAAGATCGTCTTAAGTAACGTCTTAAGATGCTAATATGGCATTGTGATTGGTTCATGAGATCTTAAGGTTGTACTTAAGACAGTCTTAAATATAAGAACCGATTATGAATACCTAAGGATCCTAGGTTCGATCCCAGTCCTCATCTCACATATATCCCGATAAAGGAGTGAAAAAGATTCTGTACATTAAGAGAATGCTAGAAATTTAAAAGGGCTAGAACAAAAGAAATCCTGTGGTATATGACCTTAAAAGTTAAGTGAAGTCACTTAACTTTTATTCCTTCGAAAGAAACCTCAAAAGAATAAATTTAATCTAGATATAATATGAATGCAAAATAAAATTACCGTTCATTTGACTGAGTAGCTGCAACTGCTCGGTTGCGTTGTGCAGTTCGTAGGCATTCGTGTAATTCTTCTGGACTGTGTATTTCTTCAATCTGAAGGTTGCTAACGTATAAATCTTGACCTTTATTGTCAACCATTCGTATTTCGTGTGTTTTTGGTTCAGAATCGAGAAGATCAACGATATGCTCGTTATAAATTTCCAGAAAACTTGCTTCTATTCGATATTCCCAACCAAGAAGTTCGAACTGTTTCATTTCTTTAAATATATGACGTACCTGCAATTACATACATGTATTTCAATTTTCTTTTTGATTCTAAAAAGCCAAATTAAAGTTGTAAATTTAAATATTTATATAAAAGTATGATTTAAATTTCACACACATACATATATATACATATATTATATTGTAAATATATATAAAAACGTACTGTTCTAGGTATCATGCCTTCAGTCTGTAATCCACATTCTCCTTCCATAGTATATGTCTTGCCAGAACTAGTCTGACCATAAGCAAATACACAAACATTATATCCTTCAAGTGCTGATTGTACTAAAAGGGATAATTCTTCGAACACATCTGCTTGCGAAGCATTGGGAGCAAATACTTTATCAAATGAAAATTCTTGTTTTGTTCCTCGTTGCTTTCCACTGCAGCTCATTGCATCTGATCCATCCGATTTACCTACTTCAATAGTACAATCGTCAATGAAGCTTATATTACACAACCTGTAACAAACAATATTTTCATTTAGATACACAAATCAAAATATCAAAATAATCTCTTTTATTTCCTTAAATAAAATATATTTTCATTTATAGAGTAATTGCTGAAAGAAACTCATCAAATTAAGAAAACAATTAAGAAAATGTATTATTAATTTTTTAATTTCCAAATTTGATCTTCTCAAAAACTTTATACAAAATTTTTTAATATACATCATTTATTATATATTATTATATATTATTTTATATACATTTTAATATATAATAAATAATGTATATTAAAAAATTTTGTTCTTATTTTAATAATTAATTAAATTTTCTCTAATAATTTCAAAACACATTTATACTCACGCTTTCATCTGCTCAGTTTCTTTCGGCGTCCGTGGACGCACGCGGCAAAAGACCCTTATATTGCCCTTTAATTCTTGGATGACATTATGCAATATCCTGCGTTCTTTATCCATCTTATGAGTCAAAGTTTGCAATTCTTCTTTGATGGTACTTAAATCTTTGTTTATTTCCTTTTGTAATTCTAAATCTGTTTTTAAAGTTATCAATTGCTGAGTCTGCTCTGAAATTAATACCTCTTGTGTTTTAGATCTTTCTTGAATTTCGTTCAAAGCCCGCGAAAGATTTGTACGCGATTCTTCTGATTCTTGTAAGCGTTTCGCTAAATCTTTCTCATTTTTTCGAATGGCAACTATTTCCACTGTTAAGGTCTGAAGCTCATTAGTCAAGGTATTATTTAAAACCTCGAGTTCTTCTACTTTAGTTTTACATGCAGTTTCACTAGTTTGTAAAGTATTTGCCATTTCTTGAAGCACATTACATTTTGATTCCAAGTCTTTATTTTTTTGTTGCTCAACTGATAGTTTGTCACTTGTATGGGCCAAACGACCTCGTAAGTCCCATTTTTTAATCTTGCCTCCCTTATCTACGTCATTTTGGATACCTTTGTTCATTCTGTTCGCTGTATTATTAGTCATTAATGCATTATTAGTTGGCTTGTTCATTAGTGCTTTAGCAACAGGTCTAGCAACAAAAGGCTTCTTTGATTCTCCATGTGTAATATTAGTACCTGTTCGTTTTATCGCCTTTACATTGTTTGGTCGTGTAATTGTGGATAACGTTTTTGATCGAACTAAGGGTTGTTTGACCGATAGTTTGTTCTCGTTTACAGATTTCACACTGCCAAAACCCGAGGATGTTGAAGCTGACGTCGATGTTGATGTTAACGTTGATGTCGACGTTGAGGTTGCGGTCGACGCTGACATATTGTTGCTATTTTTGATTGTCTTATAATTATTATTCTTGGCAGTTATATCCGCTACACTAATCGCTCTGTTTATTACTATTTTTGGTTTTGGTAAACGAGATTCCATCTGTAAAATACAATAGGTAAAATAATTTATAAGTATCAAGTAAATTTAGAAGAAAGTTCAATATATTTGATATAAAAAGAAAAAGGAAACAAATATATTAAGTAAACCATGCATGTATCATACTGAAAAAGCACTTTCTTTAAAACAATACTATTATACAATATATTTACAAATTTATCTATTGTGCACTCACTGACACTGAATAACATGCATTCAAAAATTCAATATACTTCATGCATGCAATATAAATAAAAAGAATATCAAAAGCTATGTCAAAAGAAATTCAAGGGCTGATATCACAGTCTCCGATTAACGTAATCCTCCAATTAAACTCAGTCTGCATCTCTTTCTAACTGTCCCCCTAGAAAGAGACGAAGAGCGAGTTTAATCGGAGGATCACGTTAATCCGACGTCTATAGACGTCGATGGACGTCAATTCGACGGATCATTTCTCACTGGGATCGGAGACTGTGATATCGGCCCTATATATTCATGATTAGATGTCGTGTATATATATAGTTTTTGCGTAAACGAGAAAGTATACAGAAAAGATTAACAATTACGTTAAACAAAGCAAAACAAAACAAACCTCGTCGCTCACAATATACAATCAGTTCTTCAATATAACAGTACACTCTAACAATCCTCTACTTATTATACGTCGTAGAATTACCTAAAGTTCACGTAACATTGACATGTTTATTCACTTTACGAACTAGAACGTCGATTTGCACGAGAGAAACAATTTCCGTCAATCACGAATAGATGAAATAGATCACAGCTGGATCACAAAAACGGAGAAAACAGCACACAGAACGTTTTCCTTGTGTAAAGCTTCGGCCAGCCTCGGGACTCTTGGCAGTGGCCAGCAGCGGCGGTTAGCAATAGCTTCGTTTAAACTTGAATCTGTTGTGGTGTGGTATATTGATATCGACCAATGAGAGATACGGGTACCGATTCGTGCATCACTTCAACGAATACCACAATGGATACGACGGACGAGCCAATCGCATATGTCTTTAAAAAAGGAGTATGTACAATGGGGAGCAAAAATGAGTTCCTTTTCGGTGTAGATGAGTGCACTATTTCTAGGCTCGCAATTGGTTGGAAGATAGACATAATGCGCTCTTCTACACCGAAAAACGGGTAGTGATTTATGTAACTTTTTCCCTAGAGCAAAAACGTGAAAAGTGAAAAGTTTCAATGTAACTATCTCTTTCTATTGGTGTTGAATAGAAAGAGATAAACCTTTCACTTTTCTCACATTTCCGTCCTAGAGAAAAAGATACATGATCGATCGCCAGAGTACCAGGGTCTCAATCTTGAGCACACACAAATATTTGGCCGGTATTCATAGTCAGATCTTATACATATAAGATCGTCTTAAGTTTATCTTTAGATATTCTGTAGCCAATGAAACGAGTTGTTCAGCATCTGAAGATAAACTTAAGACGATCTTAAATATAAGATCTGACTATGAATACCGGCCTTTGACATACGAAAATAACACTAGTGACAGTTTCATGTATCGATTGGTTGTTGATTTGTCCAACATATATTAATTTTAATATCTCGGTTTAACACAGTGGTTTATTAACTTACTTTTTATCCTTTTCTAACATTCTTTAAATTTTAAGAATTAGAAAAAGATAAAAAGTAAATTAAACCGAGATTAAAGCCCCTTGCACAATGTCAGGCAACAGGCAATAGGAACAAGGAATAGAAATCAGAAATCATGTATAAATGCAGAATAAACAGTGACACAGGCAATAGACACAGAGTTTCTGGAATGGATGGAAACATCACGTTGGAAATTCTGTGCTTATTGCCTGTTACCAGCCAATCATAGCATTCGAATTTTTTAGGTTGTAATTAACGATTTTTGGTTATTTCCTGTTCCTATTGCCTGTTGGCTGGCATTGTGCAAGGGGCTTAAAGTTAATCCACTTGGCAGAAATGGACATAAAATGGGAAGTATCCATTGCGCACAGCGGAAAAAGCAGCTTTAGGGCCGGTATTCATGGTCGTTTTTTCTTGTGAAAAGTATTAAATATTTAATAATATTAATATTACAATATATCTATTCAAATTTCAATTTTAAATTCAGTTATTTTTCTATAGATTATTTTAAAAACTGCCATTATTTTGCTTTTTATTTTACACGACTGAAATATATTAAAAATATTATATTTTATTTAAAAAATCTACATATGTGTGTATCATTTTTATATTATTGTCAATTAAATGTAAAAGATTCAAATATCCAAAAAAATATAAAATGTCTTCTCTCTTGTGATAATTTACACTTATTCCTATTTACCTTTCACAATTTTTATTACATGTATAAAAGATTTGTAAAACAGTGATTGGATAAGTTTTAAAACATGTGTTCGCACGCAGAGTTTCTCTCTGAGTTCGCATCTTCGTTCTAGTCAAACCAGTCGATAACGTTAGTGCTCTTCAATTACCTTCAAACGGGATCCCCATTGATTGTTATGAAAATTTACCTAGAGACAATGGTTTTCAATAATATATATCACCTTAATGACTAATATTATTATATTATTACAAATTGCAATAATATTAAATCTCACGTGAAAAAACTTACAAGCAAGAATGCAAAGATGGCGTCACCGCGTCGACCTGGCGTTATTAGTCTTTAAGTTCGCCGCCTCGTGTCGCAGGCCAACATTCGCTGCGCGAGAGTCGCGAGACACGGCCGTGAGGCTCGTGAGCGTTGGTGAGCGTCGACGAGAGGTGTAGTGAGGTGTTGTTGTCCGCGCGTTCGCGCCTGTTTATAACCGACTTTGTGCAGCGAGCAGCCGTGCGGTCGCCGACGATGAGCGCCGAGGAGGAAGTGCTGCGTATCCAGAAGAAGCTCAACAAGATGTCGAGCGGTGACGGGACGGTGAGTAATAAGTGAGTAAAATAAAGATCGCAGTATACTGGCCGGGGTGCGCGCGCGTTGAAGATGGGGGAAACGTCGTCCTCCGATCCGCGAGGAAAGCGCGCATCTTCTTCCGACGAATATTGAGCACTTTGCTGAATTCCGCGTTCTCGATGCGCGCGAAAGCCGCGTAAACAAGATCGCTCTAATATCGCGGAGGCAACGTTTGTTTACGCCGTGGAACGCGATGTTGCACGACGTCCAATTATTCATTCCATGTATCTTCTATATCCGAGAAATTGAGTACTTAAGAAGAGTCCCCAACTTGATTCTTATACCAGTGTGGTTTTATATCTTTCAATGTTTATCTTTCGTTGTGACTTCTGTTGCAAAGTGATTTTCGCGCAGGTATTTTTGTTATAATTGAACTGAATTTGTTATTAGAAAGTATTCCACTATGATTTTTTGCTTCCGCTTTGCCATGATTGTTCCTGAAAAATAAAATAAAAATATAAAATGTCAATATATAGAAATGTTGATGTCGGAATTATACTACTTAAAAGAAGAATACTTGCTGTATACAATGTTATATGACGTTTGTCAATCAGGGTCAGGAACAGGCTTTGGAGTTGCTCAAGATACTTCAGAAGTTGCCCGTTGATTTGGAGCTTTTAACTAAGACACGCATTGGAATGACTGTAAATGCCTTGAGGAAATCGAGCAGAGACGAGGAAGTTATTTCTTTATCGAAGACTCTTATTAAGAACTGGAAAAAGTTTTTATCTGGTATGTATGTAATGTAACTGAAATAATTGATTTTTATATGTAAATAACTCTGACAAATCTGTATGTATAATTTGCTTGGTATTAGGATCGAATAAAGAGAAAGACTCCACTTCGTCGAGTAGTTCAAAGAAGAAGGACGAGAAACCGGACAAATTGAAAGAAGAGAGCGATCAGAAGAAGGAGAAAGATACAACGGATGCCGCCGAAGTAAAAGTGAAGGAAGAGAAACCTGTCAGAGACATTCAAAGGAAACAGTCTTCTTTTCCTGCTCCTACCACAACAGATGCGGTCAGATTAAAATGCAGAGAACTGCTGGCGGCTGCTTTACGCGTCGACGGCAAAGTCGTCGACGGGTGTGCCAGTCCGGAAGAGTTAGCGGAAGAATTGGAGGAAGCAATTTATGCGGAATTCAAAAATACCGATAACAGATACAAAAATAGGGTAATTAAACGTATATTATCTCATTATCTCGCGCATTATCCAGAGTCTTTCTCTTAACGTATAACGTAATGGTATCTATGCTAATTGCATTGTGTGTCACATATATTTGTCATTTTTACGTACTTGAATTACAGGTACGCAGCAGAGTCGCCAACCTGCGTGACGTGAAGAATCCCAATCTACGGACGAACTTCTTGGTAGGTGCAATCACGCCTGCCAGGTTAGCGGTGATGACTGCGGAGGAGATGGCGAGCGACGAGATAAAGCAGCTACGCGAGCAATTCAAAAAGGAGGCCATCAATGACGCGCAACTTGCCACCGTGCAGGGAACCAAGACCGACTTGCTCAAGTGCGGCAAATGCAAGAAGCGCAACTGCACGTATAACCAAGTGCAAACGCGTTCGGCCGACGAGCCGATGACTACCTTCGTGTTGTGTAACGAATGCGGAAACCGATGGAAGTTCTGCTAAGCTACTGTTTCTTGATCTTATACTATACCGTGACGAAATGTATCTCTCAATCATCATCCGCTTAGAATTCAACACTTCTAAGTTGATTAAACATCGTGATATATACTTGTGGTTTCTTGATTATCGCGTTGTAAAAGGAAACTCTCTTTCTCTTTAATTAATCGAATGTACGACATAATTTTTCATATTTTTCAAATATCGCTGGCTTTCTTGTCAGAGGAGATCATGATATTTCGAGATAAATATCTATTGTAAAGATTTTACATCTGTTAAAAGTTGCACGCAAATCTTCTAGTTTCTCTGGACCATCTGAAACAATCGTGAAAATTCTTGTCGATCGAGTAACCGAATTACGCAGACGAGCGACAGAATGTACATTGATTCATTGAACATAGTGACATTTTTCGCGAAGAATACGTTTCCATATCGTTGTATATATTTGAAACCGCTCCATTAGATCAGAGCTTCGAGGAAATTTGAATGCTCATCCCGAAAGCGAGAATATCTAATAAATATATTTCGTAAAATACGTAAACGGCATTTCGATTCATGCGCTTTTATTTTAATTGCAATTGTGTTGTGCTACGATTGCAATTCCGACTGTAATTCAATCCGCTGTAAGTTTTCGATTATGCGCATAATAGTGTGATATAAGTAGATCACTTTGTCACTGTGCTGAAATTCAGATGTTTATAAGAGCTATAAATTGTGTCTACAAGTCTGAAATATACAGATACGTACAATACTGTCGTTCGAGCTTTTCTCAATTACCTCTCTAACGTTTGGCAATCGCTGTAATTATAGCGAACAACTGTTGTTTAATAGCACAGGTGCAGATAACGAAGGCATGAGATATCGTCGAGTCAGATAACACGTACAATGTATTTATAATCTAATGTCGAGATTTAAAATGGATATGTACGCTTTGTATTACTTACAAGATAGCGTTGCGCAAATAACAACCAATTGTCGCGCACAGAGGTGACGACTGATTCCGAGGGCGCAAAGCTCCGATCTTTTATTATTACGTTTCTCCAGAAGATTCAAGAACGAGCCATAGAAGTCATCGCTCGACGTATTTTGACACTCATAATAATAGTCAGCTGTTTTGCTGACACGCAGAGATCTCGCAACTCTCGCAAGCAGATTTTGTCGATTGTCCTTTCTCCTTGTCTCATATGTTTAGAAAGATATGCTTCCTGTGTCGTTGCGTCTGCTCTATGTACCGAAGGCCCAAGTTCAAATCTAGCTAGAAACATCGGATTTTATATCGCTTTTCGGAAGGCAATGGCACCACCGAGAGTATCTTGCCGTGCTTCTAATAGAGCTCGTTCGGAATCAGCGTTATTGCCCTTTAAGTGGACAGTGGACTAGTAACCCATTCCCATGGAAAATTAAAATACTTCAAAACCTTTAAAGTATAGAGGTCAAGATCCTATTTGAGTAGTTCCCTTCTCCTTGAGGGAAGCCAGGACTAGCGATGGGATTAAGTATTTTACAAGTAGGTTCGAATCTGTTGGCGTAGTTTCAAATTCTCTATAATTACTTCTAAAAATAAAAGCAGTACTTTCAAGTAAATTTGACTCTGGATAAAATGGGTTCAAACCTGGTTATTCTTCAAAGTATCTCCTTCGAGTCAAAATGTTTATGTAAAGCGACAATTATTTTAGTATATTATTTTTTGATAATTACAAATATTAGATTATTAATTGTTGCAATTAATTATAATAAAAAATATGATTAAAAATATAGAATAAAAATTTACTTAAAATCTTTACACATTACATTTTTTAAACTAATAAGGTCATTCTTAGAGTTCGAATACCACTTGTAAAAGATTCGATTCTTTCTCTCGATAGAGAAACTATACTCGATAGAAACTATACTAAGTACATTTCGAATCCTACAGATATACTAGCTCATTCTAAGATTCAAAATTAATTAGTTGGGATCGATTACTTCACAAGTACAATATATAAAATATTAATTTTTATGAATATTACTCAAATTTCAGATAATCAAACTTGATTATTGGATTTAATTCGGATTTTTAAGTACATATTAAACTTGATCTTATCGGTAGCCAGGACCCGACTAGCACTAGGTAATGTGACCAGATATTCTGTTTTCGGTGGGATAGTCCTGCCTTGGAGGTGATTCTCCCATCATCCTGCTAAATATGTCAAATGTCTCAATTTTAGTAAAAAGGTCCCACCAAAAAATACTTGAAAAATTTTGTCAAATTGCGATGGTAAACTTAATACGTTTAATTTTCTGTAATAAACAAAGTGTGGACAGTGGAAAAATAGCTCAACTTCGAGTTTGCATTTTAAAAGCAATATTGTTAACAAAACTTAATTTTGATTTAAGTTGCCAAGAATTCTATACATTTAATTCTTAAATATATATTATCACCTTCTTTATTAAAGCAAATAAGTTCAAACACTAAATACGAGTAACTATATTGTTCTGTAAAAATAAATTGAAGGTTGTTCTTGTGTTTATCTTTACACCTCTTCTATCCCGACATACAGTTGTCCGGCTTTGGATTAAAAAATATCTGGTCGCATTAGCCATAGAGTGGATGGATGGATGGATTATACGACGCTTTCTAGGAGAGCGTCGAAACAAAGAAAATAAACGATTTTGCTGCTTGATAATAAAAGCTATTAACTGCTAATGACTGATTACCCAAGATTCTCAGTAAACAAACTGTCCGGACAGTGCCGATATTCTTAACGATGTTGAATTTCAAATACTGCGTTTACCATTTTTTTTGCGAATACGGTTCAATGAAATCCCGCAGTAATTGGAATTATAATTTGCAAGTGGCATTGTCGTTTGTGAAAGTCACTCCATCATCGAACGATCGAACCATGTTGCGTTGTATTTTTAATTAATGCACAATTAAACCAAATAAGTATATTTATTACGCCAATAAATAATTAACAATTAAGACTTTTAATCGACTCTATTAGCTATCATCGTCATAACAAATCGACCATTGATTTTGGTCAGATTAATCGTCAAGACATTTCGACCATGAGTTTTGATCCTTCTAATTGATTTTGAAGCTTATTATATAAGCATCGTATTTAAACAATTTAATTTATTGCGAAAAATATCACCTTAGCCAGGGTACGAACCTGCATGAGGTGAGATTTTTCGCAATAAATTATAAATTATTTAAAATTTAAATACGATGTGTGTATGTGCTTATATATAAACTTCAAAATCAATTTAGAAGGACCAAATCCCATGGTCGAAATGTCTTGACGATTAATCTGACCAAAAGCAATAGTCGATTTGTCATGACGATGATACCAATCGAGTCGATCAAAAAAGTCTTTAATTGTTAAAAGGCACAATTGTTCAGGATATCATTAGATCGAAGAGCTATAACGTTTAACACAATGACTATACTTTTTATTTAAAATTAGTTTACGAGGTACATTTATATACATAAAAAATTTATGACTATTACATTAAGCTTATGCAATATAGACAGTATATTCGTGCATGTTTTTGTGTGTATATGTATGTGTGTGTGTGTGTATGGGTTTTGTGTACGTGTATGTGTGTACTAACGTAACAGTAGAGCTCTATTAAAATCCACATTTATACTCGGCGTTTGGATAAGAACTTAATAGTCATTTACATCTAGTTTGTATCAACTTGCCATGGGTGGTGATACCGGAATGTCGTAAGTTTCTCGCTCTCTTTTTTTCTTTTGCGTTCCAAACAAAACTCCCGCGAAAACGTCAATCGTTCAGATTCTGTCCAAGCGACGCAAAACTCTAAAAGATTAAAATCTGTGTTCGTAGGTCAAACGATTTGAATTTGTATTTTGCCTTACAGAAGGTCTTACTTGTTATCTCAAACACAAATTGTAAGATAGCCACGTTTAGCATTAATAATGCGATATGAATACGAGGTCACTGGTTCAAGTAATGTTTAAAACATTGCGTCTCGTATCAACATCCTACATTTGGCTAAACGTGGCTGTTTGATCATCACCAATTGCAATTTTTACCTTGCATGAATAGAATTTCGAATCTTTTTAAATTGTCTTTAACAGAATACAAGTACAGATCTAGGTTTCTTTGGACGTTCGTTTCGGTTGCTTGGGTACGATCGCATGATAATCGTACGACAATCTGACGACAAAATGAAGCATACGTTAGGGGGTTGGGGAAGGACAGGCGGGAATACCGCGAGTGAACGCGAGGATGTGATTAACCAGGGTGTGATGTTTGTAGGCCCGCGATGAAAATACGCAATATCTTTCTGTAAATTTTCGGAAAGGGCTCGCCCTGTTGTCCGCGAGCAAGCCACGTACCCTTCACTTTAATCGACGCGACTGCCACGGGGTGCGCGCCGCCGATGATAGAGACTCGCTCTTAAATTATAAACAAATATACACGCATGTCTAAAATTACCTCTCGATATTGTTACAATAGAGTCGATTGCTGTTTCAACTCAATGACAGACTGGTGTACCGATGAATCGTCATATAACATCCTCATTTTTATCCTTTCGCATTCTCTCTCTCTCTCTCTCTCTCGCTCTCTCTCACATTAATTAACTTACTGTATACACACATAGGCTGGACTCGTATCTTTATACTTAAATATACATCGAGTCGATCTTTACACGTTTTCTTCAGTGAATTTTTTTTATCGGACAAACATTTAACAGACACTTGAGATTCTTGCGGTACACGGATATACAATGTACATATATCGGTATATCTTAATATATATATACATACATATATGTGTATGTGTGTATATATACATATATATATAGCATTATAGATATATATTCTTTTTATTTCTTGCATGACGAACGCGCGATATATAATATATGCATTCTCGTGTAATTCGTTTATCAATAGACTCTTCTCTTATATTCATCTTTGTTCTTTTTTTAAATCCTTTTCTTTTCTCCGTAAAATGCATGACACAAAAATAAATGCTTGTATCTGTGAATTATATTTACCTTCTTTTTCCGCCCTCCCTTACACACATCTTCCCGCGACGTATACGCTTAATTAACCATATATAGCTTAGCTTCTTCTTTTTACAAAATATCACAAAAATCACACCAGCCTTTGTTCGCAACAAGAAGCCATGTTGTTGAAATCTCGTCAAAACGATACACTCCCCGGTCCGTTCTGCGCTCTCGCGCTTGAAAACATTAACATATATTAACGTGTGTATTCGATGCGATCGCACGTGCTCGTGGGAACATGCGGCCATGTCGTATAAATTGTCGTTGGCAGTGATTCACATAACAGATAGACGAGGAATTCTATGCAGCGAATACTTGTGAGAGCTTCGGAGCCACGTATCATTAAAAATTGTGAAAAAAGAAACGCCCAACTGACATCAATCCCTCCGTTTTCAATTTATCTTGAATGTCTCTTAATCGATGTGAGTTTTAACAAGTATGCGTTTCATTGATTTTATCAATTTTACATGCAAACAATCATGTGTGAGAATCAAAGTTCCTCCGCCAAATCAAATTATTATCGACCTGCGACGCAAGCTTGAGGAGTCAAGCTTGTAGGTGTAATCGGTTTGCAACAAAATTATCCGGATAAAGGCCTGGATTTAAATTCTGAGATCTGGTGTCATCTTATTTTCTCAACAGCGGAAAGATCAAAGATTATCATACATCGTATGATTACAGCCAAATTGGAGCAATCTGCATCGACATGTCATGGCATCTCTCAGCGTATCT